CATCTGTATTACTCTGCTCAAATGATTCTACCAACCACTGCAACACCGAAAATCTTGTGGCATTGTCCCATCCAATCATCCACATCAACACAACTTAGTCTCATCTGGAAGCAGTGAGTCTTACAAGCAATCCCTCTCTCCATACCCGCTGCCTACTAGTAAATCTCAACAGTGATCTGCTCTTTCCATACCTATCAAAGAAAACTGAGGCTCAGAAAAATTAGATAACTCATCCAAGAACCCACAACAATAAAACTCCTAGAGATTTTAAAGATATGTATTTTAGTTTATTTTTACTGAGATATAATTGACATATAACATTGTATTAGTTTCTGGTGCACAACATGATTTCATATTTTGTATATATTGCAAAATGATCACCACAATAAGTCTAGTTAACATCTGTCACTGTACATAATTACAAATTTTTTCTTGTTATAAGAACTTTAAGATTCACTGTCTTAGCAATTTTTTTTTTAATTTTTTTTTTCAACGTTTATTTATTTTTGGGACAGAGAGAGACAGAGCATGAACGGGGGAGGGGCAGAGAGAGAGGGAGACACAGAATCGGAAACAGGCTCCAGGCTCCGAGCCATCAGCCCAGAGCCTGACGCGGGGCTCGAACTCACTGACCGCGAGATCGTGACCTGGCTGAAGTCAGACGCTTAACCCGACTGCGCCACCCAGGCGCCCCTGTCTTAGCAATTTTTAAATACACAATATAGTATTAACTACAATCACCATGCTGCATATTACAGCCCCATGACTTGTTTCTTTTATAATTGGAGGTTTGTACCTTTTGACCCCCTTCACTCATTTTGCCCACTCCCTGCACCCCACCTCTGACAATGACCAATTTGTTCTCTGTATCTGAGCTTGTTTTTTTGGTTTTTGCTTTTAGATTCCATATATGAGATCATACTGTATTTGTCTTTCTTTGTCTGACAATTATTTCATTTAGCATAATGCCCTCAAAATCCGTCCATATTGGGGCGCCTGGGTGGCTCAGTCGGTTGAGCGTCCAACTTCCGCTCAGGTCATGATCTCGCAGTCCGTGAGTTC